ATAATCTCAGGTTCTCCTCTATTCCCAGGACCCTGCTGCCTGAATTACATTTCCGTAAGTTGCCATAAGAAGGTCCCAGGAAATGAAATAAAATGTGTACAGGGTAACCTCACACTGGGGGGCCAGTCTTTGGGGAATTGCAGTCACACTCCACGGTCCTCCCTCACTATGATCCATTCCCAAGGCCCCCACGTCTTTCCAAGGACTGCTGGGAGGAAGGCAACCACATTATCTTAGGCTCTAGGTCAGTGGTCCCCAACCTTTTTGGCGCCAGGACCGTTTTTACAGAAGACAATTTTTCCACGGACCGGGGAGGTGGGGGATGGGTTTGGGATGATTCAAGCCCATTACATTTATTGTGCACTTTATTTCTGTTATTATTATGTTGTAACATATAATGAAATAATTATACAACTCACTAGTTGGGGACTCCTGCTCTAGGTATCCCTAGAGTCTATTAATAGCGCAAGAACTAGCATATACAAAACGTTAAACCTTTGTTTATCTGGCTAACAGCTAATAAACTTGTGTATTTGTTACTGTATAAATTCACAAATCAGCACACCTTCCTACCCCTGACTGGTCTTTCAACTTTCTATGAGTTATTATCCACCACTAGACTAACCCAGCTGTGTAGCCTGGGCCCCTTGCTCAGTGAGCAGGAAGATTCGACAGCAATAGGAATGACATGCAAAGCAGATTCCATCTCTGCCCTGATGCATTTTGGCTCTTTTAAGGGATTGTGTGGAAACACTTCTCTATCCCTCAACTAAAACAACAGCAGAGCTGACCTAGCAAAAATAAAGAAGCAAATGGATGGCCTGGTGCGGTGGCTCATGCCTGTAATCCCAGCACTTTGGGAGGCCAAAGTGGGAGGATCACTTGAAGCCAGGAGTTCGAGACCAGCCTAGGTAACATAGCAACATCCAATGTCCACAAAAAAAAAAAAAGAAAAAAGAAAAAAAAATTAGCCAGATGTGGTGGCGCATGCCTGTAGTCCCAGCTACTCAGGAGGCTGAGGCAGGAGGATCCCTTGAGCCCAGGAGTTTGAGGTTGCAGTGAGCTATGATCGCGCCACTGCACTCCAGCCTGGGAGGCAACGCAAGACCCTGTTTCAAAAAAAAGAAAAAAAGACAAATGCAAATGGAGCCGATGGATCTTTACCCAGAAGTAAAATGAGGAAAATATAGATCCCTCCTTTCAAGGGGTGATATAGCACTGAATAAAGAGCCTGTGGACTAGAATAAAGCTACGCAGTTGCTCAGCAGGGCCACGAGAGCAGGAGCCACATGAGGTCTGACAGGTACAAGATCCACCCGGCACTGGCACATCTCACATGAAATCCAGCTCTGGCAGGTTCAGGATTCTCCCAGCGCTGACAACCTGCATTTCCACAGGCTGCAGTTTCCTTCATCCCAGACTCAAGGACCCACGTCTCTGTCCCACTTTCCTGGGGATTGGAAGGAGATTCACTGAAGAAAACTTCCAACAAATGCTCTGCCAGCAACTGCTTTGTTCTCCGGCCTGCCGAGGTCCTGCCTCCTTATCTTACGTTAAATGTTGCTTTTCTAAATACTGGGGTCATCACTCCTTCTGTTCTCCCTCTTTCTCACTAAGATAGTCTCTCTCTAGCTATGGAGCCCTCTTAGATGCCTGAACCAACACCCTCCTGCAAGAACCCCGGGGCTGACTCCTCCCCACGCTGATGTTCAGCTCTCTCGGGTGCGGTGGATCAATCTGAATCCGAATTCAGCTCACTCGCAGGGAACCCTCTTGCTTGACCGATTTCTCTTCATAAGTTTCAGGGCCCAAGACACAAGATGGCTGGTTAGACATGACATTGAACAGATGATGAAAATGCGTCTCTGACAATGACTTCCTGTTAGATGTGGAATCCAGGCTGTTTCTCTCAGAACCTAGTTGGACAGGCCCCCTTAGCAGTAGTAGTCATAGCAGGACTAATCTACTTTCCTCATGCTGATCCGAACTTTGGGCCACGTCAGCAATCTTTACGGGCATTTGGGAATTGTTGATGTTTCCTCAGCTTCCTTTCCTAAGACTATGTGACCTTTCCTTTCTGCCGAGGCCTCAGGCCGTCTTCTGTCTCATTTCTGCCTCTGGATAATTCCCTGGCATGCATTAGACCTCACTCTGTCTCAGTCCTATTCTTTCTTTGCTTTATTTTTAAATTTTTTTTAATAACCACTGCCTCCTTCTCTGAACTTACAGATTTAAACATTTGATGTACTTTAGTCTATTACAGTTATTATGCTTATTGTTCAAACTATCCACACCCTGCCCCCCCCCTTTTTTTGAGACAGAGTCTCACTCTGTTGCCCCAAGTAGAGTGCTCTGGCTTCAGCCTAGCTCACAGCAACCTCAAACTCCTGGGCTCAAGGGATCCTCCTGCCTCAGCCTCCCCAGTAGCTGGGACTACAGGCATGCGCCACCACACCTGGCTAATTTTTCTATTTTTAGTAGAGACAAGGTCTCACTCTTGCTCAGGCTGGTCTCGAACTCCTGAGCTCAAGCAATCCTCCCGCCTCGGCCTCCCAGGGTGCTAGGATTACAGGCCTAATTCACTGTGCCCAGCCTCTGTCCTATTTTCTTCTCATGTCAATGTTCCACAGATGCCGTAAATCTAAGCCGCTTGTTTGCTAAACAGATCCAGTGACTCCAGCCTGACGGTTAATACCAAACAACCTACTGTGGTGCCATAGTCCCTCCTGCCTTACTTCCTAACTGCCTAGAGACATGCCCCTGCCTCCCTGTCAACAAGGCCTTCACATATGTGACCCCCCTGCCATCGGTAGGCAACATCTGCCCCCACCTTTGCATGGCTATCCTCACTGAACAGGGCTCTCTGCAACCAAACCCAACTTTTAAAAAACTCATTGCATCAACACCATGCTTCTTTGAATATTTATATTCCAAAGTCTGAAATCTGAATAAGGTTTTTCAGATTCATCTCTCAAATGAGGCCTCCAGGTCATATAAAGTCCAGACAACTCAGGGCAACCTGCTCTAAAAGCAACATTTATGTTTGTTTTTCTCCCTTTACTTGCATGGTGTGCTGGACCATCCAAGTTCCAGGCTCTCCGATGTGTGCTTTGCAGAGATGAGCCCAGGAAACCTCGCTGCAACATTACGAGGTACGTTATTATCCTTATTTTGCAGCTGAGGGACCCAAAGGTGAAGTGACACAATGCTTTGCCTTTTTTTTTTCCTCCCCAGAGGACCTGTCCATTTTCTACACTCTTCCTCAAATCCCCACACACATGCTGGCTTCCAATTCTGGGAAATATTCCTGTATCTCTGGTTTATGTCAAGTGATGCTGGGACAGGGCGTATCTTGGGAAAATAAGAGAGATCTTTTACTGGCCCCATTTTTCTGGCATACATGATTTCTGCATTTTCTCTTCTCTTGGAAATGGGAAAGTGTGCCCCACAGGCTGATAGGTCCATGTCTGTTTCTTAAGGGGCTGAGGGTAGGAGGCTGGGAGTAGGGAACAGAAGGAAGAAGAGTAATGACAAGGAGCTGCTGTGTGCAGCAAGATAGCAAGTTGCTGATGGTCAGCAAGGGCAGCAGCGTGGCTAGCACCGAATGAGAGGCCTTGGAAGGAGAACAGTAAGGACCGGGCATACTCGTAATCAGGCGACATGCAGGTGGAGCCTGCCCCTGGGCCTTGGTGTGTGGCCTTCGTCCTGGGTGACTTCTCTGGAAGGCTGTGCAGCAAGGGAGGTGAGGTAGCCTACTGGCATGGGAGCAGGCAGGCAGCCAAGCCAACTGCCCGATGGCCACAGGGTCCACCCCCACAGTATGACCGCTCCCTTGCTTTTGGATAGATCGTCCTGCAGAGTGGCCCCCCCAACTCCCAAGTCCGACAGTCATCTTCTTCCCCGTAAGTGCTCCCTAGGACTGCCAAGGGTTTGTTCACTACTTGCACCTCAAATCTAGGGCATCACACTGGCGCAGAGGCAGCTGATAAGGACAGAGGAGGAATCTTTTAAGGAGAAAGTCATTTTCTCACTCATAGGCCCACAAAAGGATGCCTTATCTTTCATGTGGGATATAAACCCTGAACAAATATGACCTTAGTATTTTGATAAAAGGAATTTAGATATCTGTAACTGGCCACAACTAGTTAAATTCAAGAAAGGGCTGGGCCTGGTGTGATGGGATGCATGGCTTGGTGAGGCCCAGGAAGGCCCAGAGGCCCTGGCTCATCTGCAGGGTGGACATCCCCTTCCAGTGCTGGGGACCTGACTTGTGCAGTGAAGCCATATGCTGGCACAGCCGAAGGCCAGCCATGGAGGCTTATGCATCCACTAGGAACCTGGAAGACTGTCCAAGCGGTCTCAGTAGGGTTAGCAGTGAGGGCCCCGTAAAGAACCCTTCCCTCCAGCAGTGCTCATTTTGGCAATTTAGTATGTTCTAGGCCAAGAGGATGCACCTTGAATGCTCTGATGCACCGAACAACCAATAAGCAAGGTCCCAGAAGCCCCAGGGAGAAAACCAAATAGAGGGAAGGACACACAGTGCCACGAGATCTGGGATCTGGGGACAGAACCTCACCCAGTTTACTGTGTGAGCATCATGGATGCTCAGTGCCTTCTTAAACAGTAACTGGAGATTCCTGAGGTTTCACTGAAAAAGCAGGTTAAAATACCAAAGAGGACACCAGGTGGTTTACACTTAAGTTCCCTTTATTTCTGACAATTTCTTTACAATCATCCATGCAGGGATAACACCCACATGTACCTCCCAAGCCTGAATTCCCTTCTAGAAATGCAGATTCATTTTCTAACTCTATAGGATGCATCTCCCCAAAGATCCCATCAACTCAACATCTACCCCCCACCCCATATCACTTTTCTTTTTCCTGCTCACACTGAGCAGTTATCTGAAACTCTGGCTTCTGTGTTGCTTCAAGATGCACTTATATCTTGGGCTTCAGTGTCTAAGTGCCCAGAATAAAGCTTTTGGCAAGTGCACCCAGCTAGACAGGCATGAAACAGGGGCACAGGATGGGCTCCGGGTCATAGAAGGTCCTGTCCCCACAGCGAGGACAGGGGTTGGCACTGAACCAGACCATGCCAGGCCGCCCTGACTCGTGCAGCATCCGCTTCAGCTTGGCGTGCAGGTAGGCCAGTCTGCCCAGGTCGAGGGTACCTTGGACGTCCTCGTAACTCTCCAGCGGGGCGGGGTACAGCACGTGGCTGAGCTTGCTCAGCCCGATGGTGTGGTGCAGGAGGCTCTCCAGGACGGCCATGGAGATGGGGTTCCCGCAGAAGCTGAAGGTCGTAAGCTGGGAGCAGCGGCCCAGGGCAGGCAGGATGACGACGAACTGGGAGTCCATGATCCCACACTCATCTAAGTCCAGGTCCTGGAGGGTGGCAGAGGTTCTCTCCAGCAGAACTTGGAGGGGCTCAGGATTTATATCGGTCAGGATGACGCCACTCAGACCCAGGTCCTTCAGCTGACTGATGCTGGGACTCTGGGACAGACAGGTCAAGTCGGATTCTGAAAGCTGGCAATTAGTTATCGAGAGGGTCTCCAAAGGGTTCTTCAGGCACCTGGGGAGAAACAGAGCGGTTAGTGCTGGGGAGCAATGGTGGAGGGTGGAGGCGGGTGGGCAGACTGCAGAGAGGCCTGTTTTACCGAAACCCAAAGTCCTCCCGAGAATGGTCAACCCACACGATGCCACGCTACACTGAAGCGCGTGATAGTTCAGGTGGAGCCCTTTTCACTGCTAATCTCCTGTGTACCTGGGTCAAGTGAATGAAACAGCAAATACTTCCTTGGCTCATCTGTCAAGCAGAGTCCAACATACACCTCTTAGGCGTTGCAGGCAAGAATGCAGAGAGCCTGACCTGATGTCACACCAAGGTAGGCACCAGGGAGTGGATTTTAGTATTCAGGGACACTACTGACAACGCTTTCAAATTGTGCTTCCTTCTGGCCCCTGCTTGGGCCCCAGTCCTCTCCATTTCTGTGCCGATGAGAAACACGAATGGGAAACATTCAAGGACAAGGTCGGCAACATCCCGAAGCGGCTGCTCACCTGCAGGAGCTGCCTTAGATCACCGTATCATCAGCAACCCATCTATCACTTTTTATGATTTCTCACCTCTCCTTCCCTTCATCTCAGGAATCCTGCATTTCTCACCTATTACCTTACCTGGAGTTCAAAATAAACCTTTACAGACAGGAAATTTGAGACAGGTTTGGAGGGAGAAGCTCCCAATGAGAAGCTAGTGAGTGCAGAGCTCACAACCTGAAACCTCACATGTGATGGGCTTTCCCTTCTTCCAGTGCTCCTCGCTTAGTTATTTTTGGTCATCTTCCTTTAGACATCGCTTCCTGAGGAAGAATTCCCAAAGCCACCCTCACCAGGCCCCAACCCCTCAGCCCCATTATAGGGTTTTTCCTAGCAAGGAGTCACTGTTAATAGCATCTATCCTAGTCTATACCTCCAACCTTTATCTGAGTAGTTATGTAATGCCTTGCTTGGGGACAGAGAAGTGAACAAGACAACGTGACTTGTAGTGACACATTCACTGCTGCTGCCCATTACTATTTACTGCAATGAAGAAGGGCTTGCTGTGGCCCGCAGAGACATCTCGCCGTCCCTCACCTGAGCACCTGGTCCAGGCGGCCTTTGAGGAAGGAGATAGAGTCCAAGTAGAGATTCTCAAGGTGGAGCAGACAATGGAACTGAGAGGTGAACTGGGCGACACACTGCTCTTCCTTCTCCGGGGACGTGGAGGACATGTTGATGTGGGAGAGGAGGAGTCGCTGTAGATTACTCATCTGGCCCAGCAGAGGAGAAAACTTCCCCAGGGTGGACAATTTCCAGGTGCAATTCACTTCCAAAACTTCGATGGACTCCAGCTGCACCATGCTCAGGATCATCTTAATATTCTGCATGGGCATCGCAAATATCTTCAGGTTCTTACAGCACAGGTGCAGCAAACCTTTCCTCTGCTTCACTTTCTCAATGAGGGAGGTGAGCAATACGTCTTGGTTGCCTGCCTTGAGGGACAGATCTATGAACACCTCCACGGGAGCCAAGGGCTGCTCCGCCGCCGCCGTGCTTGAAGCATTCACTTTTTGCTTCTTCCTCACGGGCTGGGCCGCAGCTGGCTCCAGCCACGAGCACACACCGAGCCTGGTTCCGGACCACACGGTCCAGAAGTCCTGATGAGCGTTCTTCCGTAAATCCAGTACTTGCAGTTTCCACCTCCTGCGGGGGGAACAGGTCATCAGCTGAGATGCTTTAAGATCGACTCAGAATAAATCCATGTTACGTGTCTCAGGATCTGGGTAAGAACCAGATGTCTGAGCTGCACTTTGACTCCAAACTCCAGACGCCAGCTGCCCCCTTTCCAAATGGGATCCTGGGATCCTTCCTGGTCCCCACTTCCTGCACCACTGGGAAGGAAGCAAGTGTACGTACACATTCCTTCAGTCACCTCTGCATCTTAATCATTGCGCCACATGCAGAAGCCCATTCCCAGACTGATCTCAGCAATGGCCGCGAGGCCTCCGTGGGCTTCCTCGCTGGCAGCAGAACCTCCCGCCCACCCTTGGCTCCGCACGCTCCCTGACCCCAGTGTCTCGCTCAGACGCCTCGGGCCCTACCGGGCTGCTGGCTCGCGCTCACCTGGGGCGAACCTCCTGGGCAAGAAGCCCATCCAGCCCGTCCAGCGCAGCTTGGAAGATCTCTTGGGTGGGCCGCTTTTCCTTCATCAGTGCCCCCAGAGGGAGGCAGGCGAAGGGCCAGGCCTGCACCATCGCCTTCAGGGTCTCGCTGCGTCTCCTGAAGAAGGCCACCGTGAACAGTGGTGGGAAGAGCTCCTTGGGCAGCTCCTCCAGAGCAGCGATGGCCAAGGCCTCATCCCTGACCAGGCTCTGCACCGCCAGCTCCAGGAGGCTCGGTGGGCTCATCCATCCGCTCATCCTGATGAATATGCTCCGGAAGGAATCCCGAGGAAACTGGTGGGGAACAAGGCATCCTTCTCAGGGCAAATGTGAACAACTCCATCCTCTCCCCACCCTTCTGAGGGACCAACTCAGGGCCAAAGTCACTGCACTGGCAACAGCAGGGGAGTCATCAGTTTACCCTGACTCCGTCCTGCACTCGGTGGCCCAAAGCCACAGCTCTGCCTCTGTCCACACCAGGACGAGCATCTTGTCGAGGAGAGGGTAGGATGACCACTGGCCCCATTCCATGTCCACCCACTGCTCCACTGAATTCTAGCCCCCCTGGGAAGTGAGTCCCCAGGAGCCTGAGAGCTCACCCTACCCTATTCAGGGAAAAGTTCCTGATTATCATTCAAGGACAATGCGAACAAGTGTCATGTGGCCCTGGACAGCCTCCTTCTCAGCTCCAATAAGCCAGATGAGAGGTAAGGCACACACCCCCCAATGGGTGCCATTATATTTCTTTAAAAAACTTTAAACCAGAAACTGTAAAGCAATGTAACAGTATTACTTAGCATTTGGACGTAAGAGATTAAAAACACACACATTCTGAGCTGTGCGTTTTAATGTATGTCTGTGTGTTTTACGTATATTGGAATTACCATCTTGATATGGAATTCAGGGGAGGAAATACTTCACAGCAGAACAAAGCCACCACTCCTTTTTTTTCTTCAAAATGTTATTTTTTTGGCTGGGCGTTGTAGCTCACGCCTGTTATCCCAGTGCTTTGGGAGGCCGAGGCAGGAGGATCACTTGAGGCCAGGAGTTCGAGACCAGCCTGGACAAAACAGCAAGACCCCGTCTCTATAAAAAAATAAAAAAATTAGCTAGGCATGGTGGCTCATGCCTATAGTCCCAACTACTCGGGAGGCTGAGGCAGGAGGATCGCTTGAGCCCAGGAGTCCACTCAAGCCTGGGCGACAGAGTTAGACCCAATCTAAAAAATAAATAAACAAATAATTTTTTTTAATTGACAAAAAATTATATACATTATAGTATACAACATCCTGCTTCGAAATATGTATACATCATAAAACGGCTAACTTAAGCTAATTGACATAGGTATTACTGCACATATTTTTATAAAATCTCTTAGCAATTTTCAAGTATACAATGCATTGTTATTAACTATGGTCACTATAATGCATACCAGATCTCTTGAAAAAGCCTCCACTTTTTAAGCTTTTAGTTGGAGAAAAAAAACCCTAACTAGTAAAATGACAAAACCATGAATCATACAAGCTATAATTAATGACTACGCACTAAATATTTAAAATGTAATCAAGTAACATCCCAGCTAAATGTCTTCTTTTTCCCAAAAAGGCTATTTTAAGAAATACCAAAGGCTATTTACCAATAGCTATTTTAAGAAGCCACTTTAAACATCTATAAAATGGTAGAAAATCAAAATGTCTGGGACTCCACACAAAGAAATGATACATGTTTGTATATCCTCATTACCATAATTTAATTATTAGACACTGTATGTATATATCAAAATATCACAGGTACCCCATAAATACATACTATTATGTATCAATACAAAAACAAAATAAATCCTATAACCAACATGTTTGTGATTAAGGCAAAATTACATGTAGAGGAAAGAACAAAATCTACTCATTTGTAAAGAAAGAAAAAGAACCGTCTATGCAGCGTTGGCTTGCACGGCCCGGGGAGACCCTGGCTGACAGTGATGGCGGAGTCCGGAGCCTGAGGCTCCTGACTCACCAGACCCAGGTGTGGCGCTGGGAGCCGTCTGCTCAGACCTCAAGGGGATTCCACAGCATTGGCTCCAAGGCTCCAGGCCTCTGGGTCTGTCCTCTGGCCCCTCAGAAGCTATTATAGGCCCACATCCCTAAAAGGCACACATCCCTATCAGCTCCAAGCTGCCAAGGGGAGAGCAGTATCTGATTACAGCACCTGCTCTCCATCCAGTGAATCCTGATTTGTTTTTTACTTTCTTCAGATTCAACTGATTGAATTGTATGTGCGTTCATGGAAGGGAAAGAAAAGGAGGGAAAAAAAAAAACCAAAATGCCCAAGTCACAAATTGTCACTTATACTTGATGCTCCCTAATGCAGCCAATCGTGTGCCCATTCAGGGAGGACAGAGGTCCAACTGAGGGGTGAGGGGTGCCTCGTCTTCCTGACTTTGAAGGTCAAGGAGGCTGGGTCAAAATTACATCTAGCACCTGGCTAGGAGAAAGGGCATTTGTGATGGGACCAGTGGATGACCCAAGACAAGGTAAAGCATGTCTTCTGGGGGAGTTGAAAGACTCTGGCCCAAACACAGCTGAGAGATCAAGAAGAAAGTGGCTAAGAAACAGGGCAGGCCCAGTAAACCCAAGGTCATCACTGAGGCAGGGAGGGGCATCCAATCTTCCTCCCTCCCTGGACATTGGCTTTTCCTCCCCAAAAGTCAGGATCCTCTCAGCAAACAGGCTTGAGAAGATTAAATCTAGGAATGTGGACTCAGGAGGGGCCACAGGGTAGTACTGGTGACCCAGGACAGCAACTTTTTCAACTCTGAAAGCCACTGAGGGATGAGAGATGTGGATTCTTTGGGAACTTGGAGCCAGCAAGAGAAATAAGCATGGAACAAAAGCACAGATCCTCGTCATCAAAGCAGCTACCAGAAGACCTTGTCTTTAGAGCCTGGCATCCTCTTCCAGATCCGGACTGTTCACAGGCAGCAGCTCAGATCCAGGCATTTTCCAGGGGCCTTTACCCTAAACGTGATCTCCAATGGCCTCTCCCCAGGCATATGTGATAACTGATGTATCCTTGATTCTTGGCAACAGCAGATGCAAATGCAGCCTCATAAAGCTGCTTTCTGTCCCCTCAGCTTCACAGGTACAGAGGTTCAGATCGGATATGCCATCAGGCACACCACGGATTAACTCTATTTTCTTCTCTCTCTATATTAAGCACGGTGCACATGTATCAACACCTTTTCCCTCACAAACTTTGAAGCTATGTTTAGCATTTAAGGATCTGCCAAGTTTTTATTCCCATCCTGGGCTGGCTCACTCACTGGTCCTTTGGAAGTTTCAGAACACCAAAGAATTCTCCAGGCCACTCTCTGCCCCATGCGCTGTGTTGCCCGCACAGTCCTTGTATTCCACTGGCCAGGATCCAGCTGGGAGTGTTTTGAGGGCCTGGCTTCATCTGCCGTGGCCTGGGTGAGGAGGCTGGGAGTCACTGAAGGATGTTCTCCATTCTGGCATCTTCCTGGAGACTGCTTTCTCCAAATTTCTACCCTCAATACCAACAACAGCCTTTGTGAAAGCTGTGTTAAACTGGACTGAGTTCTACAGACTTTTACTTTAACTCCCAAGCAGCTGAGTTTACTAATCAGCTGCAGGAGACAGAGATTAGTTACCAAAGTAATCGTCCATGTCCCTTACTATTGAGCACCCACCGGGCACAGAAAAAGGTGGTAGCACTGTTCCTTCAGTACCTCAAATAACCTTCATGGAAAATCTCAAGTTCACTGTTATTTTCATTTTTAGCCCGCTGAACCTGACACTCTGTGGGGTGAAGGATCTGCTCAGACCCATGCAGGGAGTAATTGGTACTCTCATGTGAGGGGTTTAGATGGATCTGTGTCTCTCCACCCCTCCAAAAGAGTTGGCTGATAGACTTCACATGAACCACAGGAACACAGGAAAACTGCACAAGTCTATAAAAGCTTGGGAAGTTTCTATGGGATCCCAGCTTCCAGGAGACCCAAGGAGGCCAGAGGAACCACGAGGAAGTGTAAGATGAACACAGTCCCTGTGAGACAGATGACACTCCTCTGTCCGCCTCTACGCTGCACCGGAGGAAGGAGCACATCTGTGCAAGGGTGCTGTCCTTCCTCCCAGTATCAGGGAGCAGTGAAAAGACAGGCTGGCTGGGCACGCAGGCTCAGGCCTGTAATCCCAGCTCTTTGGGAAGCTGAGAAAGGAGGACTGCTTGAGGCCAGGAGTTTGAGACCAGCCTGGGCAATGTAGCAAGACCCCATCTATATTAAAAAAAAAAAAATTCTGGGGCCCAGCACAACTCCCAGGGCCCAGGCATGGATTTGGGGGACACTTCTGCCATGTTCTGCTCACCGGTGCTCACAGTCCTTGTTTGCTGCACAGGTCAGAGCAGCCTCTGAGCTCATCTTGGGGGTGTCCTGCACCCCCTTTTCCAGTCACAGAATCCCAATGGTGATCCCAAAGCATGTTTGTGTGCTCCTGGTCTGCCTCTGCCGGCCTGGGCAGCCCTCTCCTTCTGCTACCCTGCCATGTCAACTCACCTCCCCTGTTGCCTGGGACGTGGCCTAGACACTGGCAGACACCCTTCCACTGGCATTTACAGAAATCAAAGAATTCTTCCCAATCCTACTGAGCTATTTTGGAGAATACAAGCCACGAGGTGTAGGGAAAAAAGCCCGGCTGTTCTTCTGGATCCAAAGAGGCGCGGGGAATGCAGGAGGATGCCCCTTCTTGGGCTCTGCAGGAAGACCTGTCCTGTTGATGCGAGTCCTGGAGACCAGTCCTGACGCCAGCAGCTCTCCCTCCTCAGCCGCTGAACAGAGAAGATTCTACCCAGGATCCAGCAAGCTTCTGTTTCTCTGCAGAGTCAGGTCTCTGACATATTTTGCCCTAGTTGCCTTTTTAAAAATCTAAGATCTCTGTTGGCCCTTCCTGTCTCCTCCCTAGGACTCCACAGGGTCTGGAACACTGCAGAGACAATAATCTCCAGACCTACACATGGTAAGGTCACCCTGGGTCCAGCCAGTTAATGCCAAGGGATGTGCTTTTCGAGGCATGGTGGAGAGGGCAAGAGTCTGGCGACTCGCTCCAGGCTGGGGGGAGCAGAGGGATTCAGGGAAGGAAGAGGGGCACTGGGCAGGAATGAATGGCCCAGAGGAGCGGATGTGGAGCCAAGCGTGAGATGGAAGGAGGGAAATGGCAGCAGAGAAGGCAGCCAGGTCTACTGGC